TAAGAAGACAGCTTTCTACTGCTTTAAACCTGGGCCCCTTTTTACACAGAGTTGCGATTGATCCAAATCAATTGCAAGTCCTCTAATCAATCGCAATTTTGCAGTCTCCTATCCCTTATGTACATACTTGCGATTGATATCAATCGCAAATAAGGCCATGTAAAAAAATATACATGTTTAGCGTCCCCGCCCGCTTCCTTTTTGGGGGCCGCCAAAAGTCTTATAGGACTGGATAGAAAAAATTTGCTCTGGTATCTAAAACGAAAAGTTGTCAATTGTGCATTGATCTGTCCAAGATTCATTAAAAACTAAGACATACACTGTAGACCATACATTATCAAGTCAAACTAAAGCATACATTGGCTCATTTATGAACAGCTGAACAGCTCACAAATGCCATTTCTCTTTTATGCACAGTAAGCAAAATGATATTATCGAATGTTTTTTTTACATTGCTTATTTTAAGTGGCTTAAAATGTCATCCTTTTTCTTTCCAATCTTGTGAAAATATCTTTTAGGTTGTATGGCTATGGTTGGCCAAGACATACAGGAGGACCCATGTACTACGCTAAGAATATTGTCGGCCTGCCTAAAGTTCTGGAGAGAATAATGTTTTACCACTTCGAACATCGTAAGTGGAATTACCAGTAGTTTATTTCATCATACATGCTATTATTAGGGACTTTTAGATTTGCGTGGACTGATACGTGTGACGTCCATTCAAGGCAGTGCATTAAAAGGACGTCGATCGTAGCAATCCCCATTGTCTTTGTGCAAATCTAAAAGTCCCTATTATACAGTGTGTCCCGAAAAAAACTATACACTTTTGAAATGGCTGCCGAATAACAAATATATGATTCTAGGGGGAAAAGTTTTATATGTATGGAAAGCTCATAAACTCAACTTTCATATGACACCAAAAAGTTTGAAAATAATTCATGCTTGGGTGAGTACTGGTCACTTTTGTAAAGGGTATGGAAACTAGGTTGCGCAGGAATTAGCCTTCCAATTTGTGAGAGGTAAATCCTTTGAAGCTTACCGAATTGAGGGTGATATGATACATTCATGATTTGCTGAGTGAATTTCATGGTTTATTAAACCAAACTTTTATGCACGGAACAGGAATTTATTTTTCTATTGTAGCATTGTAACTTTCCCTGGTAGACTCAGTGGTGTGTTCATGACAGTCCGGATGGGGTGATGGTACATGTTGTAATTTCCATGTTACAAACTGTTATTTTTTACATTTGTGACTTTGAATAAAAACCTTCACCCCACATTTCAGTTACCATTTACCTGAAGAATAAGTAGCCGACATCTTGGACATTCCTTTTGTCAACAAACCGTATTTGAATATTCAATTTACAATATCCCTACCTGGGTATTGAGTAAATCAATGAGATGTTCAACTAATCTTACAATAATTGAAATGTGGGGTGAAGGTTTTTATTCAAAGTCACAGATGTAAGAGAATAACAGTTTGTAACATGGAAATTACAACATGTATCATCACCCCATCCTGACTCCCATGAACACACCACTGAGTCTACCAGGGAAGTTACAGTGCTACAATAAAAAATGCAATTCCTGTTAACTCATGCATAAAATGTTAATCCCATAAACCAAACATTTCACTCAGCAAACCCAAACTTATCACAATTGATCATAAATTGGTCATATCATCCTCAATTCGGTAAGCTCCAAAGGATTTACCTCTCACAAATTGGAAGGCTAATTCCTGCGCAACCAAATTTTCATACCCTTTACAAAAGTGAGCAGTGCTCACCCGAGCATGAATTATTTTCGCAACTTTTGGTGTCATATGAAAGTTGAGTATATGAGCTTTCCATACATATATAACTTTTCCCCCTAGAATCATACATTTGTTATTTGGCAGCCATTTCAAAAGTGTATAGTTTTTTTCGGGACACACTGTATGGTGTCACCTGTGCCTTGGAGGTGAAAAAGTGAACTGAATCAATGTAACCCTCAGGTCTCTCCTCCCGGTATAACATATAGGGGGTGCCAGATGGACCACTACACAGGTTTCCCCTACTATTATACAAATAGTGCAGTGGGTTCTTAAACCCCGTGTAGATTCTCCTCTACACAGGGACTCCACTTTGCATCCTATCCGAGGGATGTATACCCATCATCGATCCTTATTGAGGGTTCCTGTTTTCTTGATTCCATTCTCCATGTCTGTCTTTAGCCACTCCAGACTCTGCTTCTCTCGTCATGTATGGACAAATTTTCAGTAGTATTCTGATCCAGATGAAGATATTGCACAAAATACGGAAGGGGGATGGGCGTTGAGGGTTTAGGCACTTTTTTGTGTGAGATGGATGGAAATATTATTTGTTACTATGAGTTTCAATGTTGATTGGTCACTTTAAAATGAGACCAGTTCACTTAAAATACCAAAGGTATTCCGAGGATATGTGGAAGGGGGGGGGGGGGTTCTTTTTGTTTTTCAATTAGGGTTCAAATTTTAGGCCTGCACATAAAGACTTAATCAAATTTCAAAAGCTATCTGTGCAAGTATTTGGTTGATCTAATATCGTACATGCACCTGGATACGCCTGTGATAAATTTTTGAGGCACAGTTAAATCATTAGCCTTACATGTACCTTCCATTATACATGTTCCAATTATGGTATTCATGATATTTACTACTTCACCATCTCAATTTCAAATGGAATCCGTTGTCTATCTTTGTAAGTGTTTCTCTTTGTATTGTTTCCCCATACAGCTAACAGTCCATACTGGAAGCCTAGTCAGCTACTCATAGACAGGGTATCAGAGGAGCACCCACACGCCAGCAAACTGTAGCAAGCCACTGAGTAAACTCTTCATGTGGAAGCCACATTGGAAATGACTTCACAATAAAATCTTCACAATTCATTGAAAATGGCCTGTTTTGACAAGCTAAACTTGCATTCTATATACATGTAGTACCATAACATCGTACTGCATCCGCAATAGCGCCATCTACGACACAGGTCTGAGGAAGCTTGCAGGACACAAGTGAAAGCTTACCAAAACAGATCATTTTTCTTCTGATTGTCAAGACAGAACATCACCAATAAGATGAACTTCTTCAGTGATTAAACATCAGAAGTATTTTATGTATGATGTACAGATCATTCACGATATCTGTATTCCAACTTCTTTATAAATGAAGCTCCAAAAGACCAAAGATGATAGATTATTCATTGCAGATCTATTTTTATACCCGAGTCCCACCGCCAAACCAAGCGACTTGGTCATTCTTCTGTCTTTCATTCTGTATGTTGACAAATCTGTCAGCCATATTGGTTTGACTATAGTATTAATTAATAGGTTACTGGAATAAAGGCAACTCCATTTATTAATTCAATCATATTACTTCTTATTCTTTAATAATTTGATTATTTGTATACAATGCTGGTGGTTTGGTGTTTTTGCATGCATGTAATCCATGGATTAGCTGATGCCAAGTATGTATTTTATCTTCCATTGTGGAGTGTGGATTATGTGAACAAGTACAAATGTATTAAAGAGGGAAGTACAGCTGCAATGACTGATAAAGCCTTCCATGAAATGTGTATCCAGTATAGAAATGAATTCCCAAAACATAAGATAAATGTTTATTAATCCATCGTTAGTATTGATAACAAATTTTTGAAGACCAAATTCCAAATTGCCTTTGTATATATGGAATGCTTGCCATATCCGGTATAAAACGCAATACTCAAATACAAAGAAGTGGGACCAGCTAGATATCCTTTTATAGCAAACCAGTTTTTATAATGAGGCTCCACTGTACCAATATTTTTGTTAAATTCAGAAACAAGATGGCAAGTACACCAGCAGATATGTTCTTATTTTCGTATTTTATTGATCATTTTTGTGATAGGCAGTGGAGAAGAGACTGCACAATGTTTGTTGTATTGGTTATATAATAATATTGCCATGTAATTTTTGTCAATGAAGTTTTCACATTCAATAAGTGAAGTGCCTTCAAAATTACATGTACATCTTGTTTATAATACTGAAATGGATTTAATCATGTGAAGAAATGTCATTTGATTGGCATTCTGGCCTACTTATATGGTTTATCATTTTCTTGGAAGGGGGGGGGGGGGCGGCGGGATAATTTTTGAAATTTGTATTACATGTAACGGAAAAATACAAAAAAATATGATTTTAAGAAAATGAGAATTATGTATGAAATTATCTTTTCCATCCTACCTTGAAATTATGTATCGATCTTTCCTGAAATAGTTGCATAATGGATAGATAATTTTTCACTTATCAGCTGCAATTACTGGTTAAATACAATAAACTTGAGATTTTCAAATTGCCTATACAGACAAATTTTATATACTTTAGCATGTGTTGTCTAATTTGAAATTCCAGACATGATAATAAAGTGAAATTATTTTACATATGGTTTCCACAAGTTTTTATTTTGACATTACATTAAGTGCTGTATTTAAAAAAAAAATAGTTTGTGTTAATTCCAGCCAATATCAAGGACTAAAGAACTACAAGTTACTCGTAATATTCTTTCAATTTTTGAACTGAACGATATTTATTGTTTTAACAGGAAATACAGAAATTACAAATTTGTCTTCATTGTTATCAATATAATCATGAAATTGATTTATTTAATGAATTATAATTAGTTGGCATTGATCCATAATGCACCAGCTAATGAAAAATAGTTTTGAACTAAAATCAAAAGCAATGAATAAAAACAGATTCATAAAATTCATCTCACCATATGTTATTACAAATGCAACTGTAAATTAGAATGAGTCCTTCAAGGACAAAGAAATAAAAAAGCGAATTTGTTTTTTCCAAATCCCTTAGAAGCCTGCTGATTGAATTGTATTCTATGAAATAATTGAAATATTATAAATGATCCATACATATAATCCTTAACGAGATGCTTCCTAATCTTTGATTGCAGAGGATAACAAAGAGGGTGTATTTGAGCTAACACCATATGAAACTAGTTCGCTCGATCGCTACTTAAAGATGACTGTAGTGTAATTTCATTTTGTGCAACTTATTTGTTTACTTCAAATATGCATCCGGTAGGTGGATAGATATATTTCATTTTTTATATCCATCTTATTTTTCGTCTCAAACCGTTTCATTTTACTTGTAGGTACTAGGTAAATCTCGCTCTACATCTATTGTGATATATACCTACTAAGGAGAAACGGCGCTCAACGTTTTTGCAACGCTTTCTTCTTTCTATTGAGTAAAGCATTCTCCAGCGTCACCAGGCGTGTCAACATCCCCTTACTAAGCACCGCATCATGCTTTCCTTCCATACCCTGTTCAGTGTCTGCTTGAACTGCGCCATCTTTGTCAATCCTCTTAGATCGCCTTTCCTTCAATTTCAAGGACAGTTCATTCTTCAAGCTGCCAATGAGGTCGAGTTTCTTTCGGGCATCCTCAGACAGAACGATTTTACGACGTCGATTTGTTCCAGGTCCGGTCGCTCCCGCCTCGGCATCGCTTACGACATCGTTGCCTCTGGTATCCTGGTTATTCCCGCCGTCTACTACATCATCGGACTGGTTTTCTTCAGGTTTGTGGGTCTTGCGCGCGGCTGTTATAGCTTCCTCAAGATCATTGACGATAGAGTCGCCCATAATTTTCTCGGCAGTTTGGAAAAGCTTCTTGTTTGAGAGCTCTTTTGGAAGATTTTGGTCACGATCAGCGAGAGGACTTGGTTCTTCGGTTGTTAAGCTTGCAACATTGTCAACCTCCTCTTGTTCTGTGAGATACTCTGCAATAGATTAAAAAATATGATACATTGTCAGAGGCTGATCCTATTTTTTTAGACAGGGGTCTGGCAAATATTTGAAAATTTTGAAAAGTTCACAATCCATGAGTGGCGTTACGTATATCTAATAATAGCGTGTGTGTGTGGATAGGGGAGGGGGTGGGTGATATCTCTCTATGTGTCCCCCCCCCCCCCTCAATTGTGAGTAAAGACAAAGGAATGTACTAGTGCTTAATGGTGAATTATCGATGTTTTATCATAACTTAATCACAATTATAATTAATAAATGACACATATTTGTAAAGCTTAATTCCTCCTTTTTCATTTGGTGCAACTCACATGATGCATATTAGTAATTAAAAGCAATTTAAAGGGAGGAAACCAAAAAGTAATTTGGCGGGCGGTATCTGAATTTCGAAGAAAAATTCACATTTCTGGAAAGTTCATTTTCTGCTCTTACATATGACACCTCAAATCAGGAATGACACCTCAAATCAGGAATAACAACGTTCTGTATGTTTAAAGTGATGCAAAGCTTGCATTTCGGGTTTAATTAAGCGAATTCGTTTTCACTGGCTGCCTGCCGTAGCAACCAACGGAATTGAAAAAAGGACTTAAGTCCGTTTCGTTGACGATCAGACATAGACAAAAGACTTCATGCATGGCTAATTGTCAATGAAACGGAGTTAAGTCTTTTGTCAATTCTGCTTGTTGCTACGGCAGGCAGCCATTGAAAACGAACTTTTAAAATCAAATTATGGAAATGCAAGCGTAACTTTACAGAACTTTGTTATTCCTTGCTCATTTTTTTCTGATTGAGGTGTCATATGAAAGGGCAGAAACTGATCTTTGTAGAAATGTGAATTTTTCAACCAAATTCAGGTACCGCCCCGCTTATGAACCCAATGAGGATCAACTTCACTGGGTTACGTAATACAATGTAAACTGTGTGCCCTTGGGGGGGGGGGGGGGGGCGTTTCATGAAACAATTAGTCACCGACTAATGTCATTCTCACCGACAATTCTATTGTCACCGACTATTTTCTAGGTCTCTGATTGGTCAAATTTAGTCAGCACTGACAGTTGTCGCGGACAAATGTTGATGAAACTTCCCCCTGTAAGTGTGGGCGGTCTGTGCGCTATTCATAATGACCGCTATTTATTGAGTCACACGTTATATTATGCATAGCGGTCCCTATGAATGGCGGTCCTTATGAATACCGAGGTAAATTGTCTCTGGTTTGCTCGCTAGTCATAAGGACTTCTATTCATAAAGGAGCGCTTTTCATTTTGTCCCACATTATGGATACCGGGCCTTTTGAATAATATTCCTTATGAATAGCGGTCTTTGGGGATAGCGAGCTTGACCCGTTGGCCCGAATTCACAAAGGAGGTTTGTCGACAAACCTCCTTTTGTTTCGACAAACCTCCTTTTGTTATTTACAAACCAGGTTTGTAAAAAACGCGTCAAAACGCGTCATATGACGTATATAAACCTCGGTTTGTCGACAAACCTCCTTTGTGAATTCGGGCCTTTGTGTGTATTAAAGTTGTCAGCAATGGTCCATATCGAATATACGTACCTGCACGGTGCAATGTTTGCTCAATGTTATACAGCGTGTCAGCTACATCCTCTGTATTGTAAGTCGTATCATCATTGTTACCTTCAAACAAAATAAAATGAGATTAAGCCTTTTACTTTTCAAAAATATTTTTTTAATTTTTTTATTGAAGTACAAGGATTTTAACTATTGCAGACACAAGTAAAATTTAATTGCCTTATCTTCTCACTTGAGGATGAAAGAAATAATAACAGACATCAGGTCTCTGCCCTTCTTTTGATAATATATTTAATTTCATTTTAAATCAATGTCAAAAATTGTCAATACCAAACCAGACTTAAAGGTGATAGAAAAACACGCTCTTTATATACCTTAAAGTTTTTACTATTATATTTTCGAATGTCTTTGATATGTTGAAAGAATTGTGTTTATAAAAATGACATTTTATTTTTACTGTTGTAAAAATGTATGTCATCGATTGTTATGCACTTCTTTAACAAAGCTATGTAGATCCCGATTTCAGTTTTCCCAATTATTGATTACCTGGGGAAAGGGAAATGTAACATGTGTAGGCCTGTTAAAATAATTTCGTGCAATTTAGCTGTGCATACATACCATTTTCAAGAATACCATTAAGATCCTCCAAGTCGTTATTCAGTTCAGTCAACACATACGAGAGACCATCATTGGTTCCTGAAAGATGGAAATGGAAATACAAAGTACCTAAGATTGAAGCTTAATGCGAAATGAATTCGATACATTCTTCCACAATTATTGTTATTTGTTGGCATTGTATTTTAGATGATAACGTTTAATGAAATTATTAATGAAATGATTAATTAGGTGAAGTTGTAGAAGCTCTGTTTTCACTTCTCCTTTGTATTCGCGTCTATTTGTCTGTTCGTCTGTCTCTTTGTCTCTCTCTCTCTCTTGAGATCACTCACTCTCTTTCTATCTATCTCATTCACAACCCTTCTCTCTCTCTCTCTCTCTCTCTATCTATCTATCCTTTTTTTCATTCACTCTCTGTCTCTATCTACTTACCCCCTCCCCCTTCTTTCTTACTCCATTTCTTTTTCTCTCTTTCCCCCTTGCTCTCTCTCTCTCTCTCTCTCTCTCAGAATGTACAGAGATGCAGTTTTAATAACGAGTTTCCCATCCATACCTTGTTGTTCTGGACATAATGCTTCATCTTCTCCTCCCAGACAGTCATTATAATCATCACACACAGCATGTACAGAGATGCAGTTTCCTTCATAACATTGGAACTGGTAGTGGGGATCACAATCTCCTGCAAAACAAACTCAGGGTATTTAAAAGTGCAGAGTAAATGCTAGACAAAATGGCAGATGTCTGTATTCTTCAAAGCAGTTCAAGTTTAACCTGGAAAAGTTTCTTCCAGTTGAAAATGTCGACCCACCCTTTTCCATGTATTTCCCACTTAAACTTTAATTTGACAATACCAACGGATCATTATACGGAGTAGCACTGCATGTCTCTCCCCTTTGCAAACTTTGCCTGCCAACCCCAGACAACTCTTTAAAGCCATTTCGTGTTTCATTGAGTAACGTGTTTATAGTTTATATCGTTAGTTTAAACTGTATTGTCAGCAAATCGCAAAGGTTTACATTGGGGAGGAAGGAGGGATGGAGGGGGGGGGCTTTGAAACAGATACCCGCCCCTATCAGAATGGCTTGGTGCCAGTGATAGGGGCGGTCCATCTGTGCCACCCAAAGGTCTCTTGTCTCTTACCTAGGTTTTGGAAGTCATTACAGTTTAAGGGTATCTCGTCAGATCCTGTGGGGCAGTCATTCTTGCCGTCACACATACCCTGAATTGGAACACAGGTACCAGACTCGCACTGAAAACAAGAGGACAAATTTTTAAGTCCAATGAAACAATCAAAGACAGTGAACACGCCCAGCAAAATAAAACTTCAAACAAGAGAAGCCAAGATAATCAAAGAGTTGGCAATAACCAATGTACATCTTGATAAATTTACGGGTGTGTTTGGTCTATTTTTTCATATTTTTTTATATTCACTTTATCTAATTTCATTTCTTGCACATGATCTTTGTATGACTTACCTCATACTCATACGCGTTACACGCACTCGGGCAGCTGTTCTCATCCTCACCATCTTCACAGTCCCGATAACGACCGTCACACACGTAATCCTGCAGTCAAACAGAAATACAGTTTGTAAACGGGTCAGAAACCGTCTTACTTTGTCCCGTATCATAGTGATCACGTAGAGGATTTTAGTGATTCAGCCTACATCTTATTATTTTATTCATTTCATAGCCCTGCTAGATCATGCTGACCTAAATGAAAGCGTTTTGCTGATGTCAATTAATATGCACCAGTCCATAAAATTACTTAACGTCTGGGACACAAAATTACCAAAAACATTTGACTTGTCCAAACGCGGGATCCATTGAGGGTGAGGGGGGGGGGGGGTATATCATATAGGGCCATCCGGCATAGCCTCCTGTCGATGGCCCTCGCGCTGTTGGAGTCCGTAAATTCTGACTCGCTGGTCAGAATATACGGACTCCGCGAGGGCCATCGACAAGAGGCTACATCCGGCATGACGTTGAAATGTTGCTCCGTGTTCACAAAACAAATGATCCTTGCTATCTTGAAAAAAAGGTGTTTCATTTTTTAATACAAACTGTAGAAAACAAAATTTGGACAGATCACTGCAAATGTACCTTTGGAATGCAAGACCCGTCGTTACACCTGAACTCTGATTTTCCGCAGTCGACAACGTTGTTACCTCCGCAGTTCTCCTCATCCTCTCCGTTCATGCAGTCCGTGTATTGTCCGTCGCATCGCCATGTGGATGATATGCAGACTCCATTGGCGCACTAGGTTTTGATCAGAACGAATGGAAAAAAGGAGAGTTTATTTTGTTATCTTGATGAAAAGGAAGAGTTTATTGACGAAACCCATAGTTGAGATATGGATGGAAAAAACTTTGACCTCTCGTATTGAATTGTGCAAGCATTTGTCATCATTATCTGTCAAGTTATATTCAAATAATAACGATTGATTTTGTTTTCTTCAAAGAAAAGTACTATTGTTTAGTGTTTCTAGACTTCGTTGCCCCCCCCCCCCCCCGCACACACACAGACACACACACTTAAAGTTGAACAAACGCACTTCAAAACAACTATCATGACCAAAGCAAACAAGTGTTTGGTGACAATTTTCACTTATGGCTCATTTTTGTTGGTAATATTTTTGGTTACATTATGTGGGTCTAATATAACATAAATAGAAGAATAAAAGAAATAAGAAGTTTAAGCTGGGCAATAGTGCTTTTACTATTCGGATATAGACAAAGGGAACGATATTATGAAAATCATAAACGATTTTTAAACCAAACCCATTCTAAGATCAGTTAGTGAATTGGCAACTTGCTTATCAATGTGGAAGATGCAGGATTCTTATAAAAAGTTCTACATTTACCTGAAACTGGTCCCGGTCGCATACACTATGTGGTCCGCAGTCTGTCTCATCCTCACCGAGTGAACAGTCTTCGTACAACCCGTCGCATCGGTAACTGGCAGGAAGGCATGAGCCATCGAGACACTGGAACTCGTTGCTGTTGCATCCACTGATCGGGCAGGCCTCCTCATCCTCACCGTGATAACAGTCTTGATGACCATCACAGCGGGCATCAAGAGGAAAACATTCTCCGTTGCTGCATTTAAATTGTCCTGTACAATCTTCAATGATGGGACAACCATCCTCATCGTCCTTGCCATAGCAATCGGAGATGCCATTACATTGAGCCGTTAGAGGAATGCATTCTCCTGAATTGCATCTAAACTGACCCGCACAGTCTTCTACCACCGGACAGCCATATTCATCTTGGTTGCCAGCGCAATCTCGAATACCATCACAAACAGCAATTCTTGAGATGCAGTTTCCTGGAGAACAGGTGAACTCACCCGGACACTGGTCTCCGAGAATAGGACAATTAAATTCATCCTCTCCTTTCAAGCAGTCTTGGGTGTTATCGCAGATTCTGGTAGCTCCAATGCAGCTACCGTCATCACATTCAAATTCACACCGATTGCAATCGACTTCATCTTCGCCTTCAAAACAATCAAACCTGCCGTTGCAGACATAACTCCTTGGGATACAGTTCCCTCGGTCACATGCAAATTCACAAACAGTGTTGCAGTCATTTTCATCTTCTCCATTGTAACAATCTCGATTCCCATCACAGACTTTGCTTTGCGATATGCAGGGGCCATCATCACACACGAATCCATCAGAACACAGACTTCTCATCTGGCATCCACCTGATTCGTCTTCTCCCTGAACACAATCACGTACTGCTCTGCATCTACCTCCGAAAGGGATACATTGTCCGTCGCTACATTTATATTGTCCTGGACAATCTCCAATGATAGGGCAACCAACCTCATCATCCCTGCCATAGCAGTCAGAGATGCCATTACACCTAGCCGTTAGAGGAATGCATTCTCCTGAATTGCATCTAAACTGACCCGAACAGTCGGCCACTACCGGACAGCCATCTTCATCTTCGTTGCCAAAGCAATCTCGAACACCATCACAAACAGCAGTTCTTGGGATGCAGTACCCAGGAGGACAGGTAAACTCACCAGGACACTGGTCTCCTCTAATGGGACAATTCAATTCATCTTCGCCATCGAAACACTCTTCCCTGCCGTTGCAGATATAACTCCTTGGAATACAGTTCCCTCTGCCGCATTCAAATTCATTTCCACATCCTGCTGGGCAACTTTCCTCGTCTTCCCCGGAAGAGCAGTCAGGTATGCCATCACAAACATTATCACCACCAATACAATGGCCATTATAGCAGGTAAACTCAGTACTGTCACATCTTTCGTTGATAGGACAGGAACTCTCGTCCAGGCCATTTGAACAGTCTCGACGACCATCACAGATGTACCGTAATTCAATACAGAATCCTGTCTGACAATTGAATTTACCAGGGCAGATTTCTTCTGATTCACAGTTCTGCTCATCTGTACGATCTGGACAGTCTTTGTAGGTGTCACAAACTTTGCTAGACTCTATACAGGTTCCATCGCCACATCTAAAGCCATTGCAAGGGTTTGTTAATGGGCAACTTGATTCATCTTTACCATCATAGCAATCTCGAACTCCATTACAGACAGCTGAATTAGGTATACAGTTTTCAACGTCACACAAAAATCCATCAGAACACGGACTACTAATCTGGCATCCACCTGCTTCATCTTCTCCTTGATAACAATCACGTATTCCGTCGCATCTAGCTCTTAGAGGGATACACTGTCCGTCACTACATTTATATTGTCCTGGACAATCTCCAATGATAGGACAACCAACCTCATCATCCCTGCCATAGCAGTCAGAGATGCCATTACATCTAGCCGTTAGAGGAATGCATTCTCCTGAATTGCATCTAAACTGACCCGAACAGTCGGCAACTACCGGACAGCCATCTTCATCTTCGTTACCAAAGCAATCTCGAACACCATCACAAACAGCAGTTCTTGGGATGCAGTAACCAGGAGGACAGGTAAACTCACCCGGACACTGGTCTCCTATAATAGGACAATTCAATTCATCCTCTCCTCGTGAGCAATCTTGGGTGCTATCGCAGATCTTGGTAGCTACAATGCAGCTTCCGTCATCGCATTCAAATTCACAACGATTGCAACCAACTTCATCTTCGCCATCGAAACACTCTTCCCTGCCGTTGCAGACATAACTCCTTGGGATACAGTTCCCTCTGTTGCATTCAAATTCATGTCCACATTCTGGTCGGCAGCCTTCCTCGTCTTCCCCGGCAGAACAGTCGGGTATGCCATCACAAACATTATCACCACCAATGCAATGATCATTATAGCAGGTAAATTCGGTACTGTCACATCCTTCATTGATAGGACAGGAACTCTCGTCCAGGCCATTTGAACAGTCCTGACGTCCATCACAGATGTACCGTAATTCAATACAGAATCCTGTCTGACAATTGAATTTACCAGGGCAGATTTCTTCTGATTCACAGTTCTGCTCATCTGTACGATCTGGACAGTCTTTGTAGGTGTCACAAACTCTACTAGACTCTATACAGGTTCCATCGTCACATCTAAAGCCATTGCAAGGGTTTGTTAAGGGGCAACTTGATTCATCTTCACCATCATAGCAATCTCGAACTCCATTACAGACAGCTGAGTTAGGTATACAGTTTTCAGTGCCGCACTGAAATTCACAAACTGTGTTGCAGTTATTTTCATCTTCTCCTTGATAACAATCACGTATTCCATTGCATTTAGCTCTTAAAGGGATACACTGTCCATCGCTACATTTAAATTGTCCTGGACAATCTCCAATGACGGGACAACCATCCTCATCATCCCTGCCATAGCAATCGGAGATGCCATTACATCTAGCCGTTAGAGGAATGCATTCTCCTGAATTGCATCTAAACTGACCCGAACAGTCGGCCACTACCGGACAGCCATCTTCATCTTCGTTGCCTGAGCAATCTCGAACACCATCACAAACGGCAATTCTTGAGATGCAGTACCCAGGAGAACAAGTGAATTCACCCGGACACTGGTCTTCTACAATGGGACAATTCAATTCATCCTCTCCTCGTGAGCAATCTTGGGTGCTATCGCAGATCTTGGTAGCTTCAATGCAGCTTCCGTCATCGCATTCAAATTCACAACGATTGCAACCAACTTCATCTTCGCCATCGGAACAATCCAACCTGCCGTTGCAGACATAACCTCTTGGGATACAGTTCCCTCTGCCGCATTCAAATTCATTTCCACATCCTGCTGGGCATTTTTCCTCGTCTTCCCCGGCAGAGCAGTCAGGTATGCCATCACAAACATTATTACTACCAATACAATGATCATTATAGCAGGTAAATTGGGTACTATCACATCCTTCGTTGATAGGACAGGAACTCTCGTCCAGGCCATTTGAACAGTCCTGACGTCCATCACAGATGTACCGTATTTCAATACAGAAACCTGTCTGACAATTGAATTTACCAGGGCAGATTTCTTCTGATTCACAGTTCTGCTCATCTGTACGATCTGGACAGTCTTTGTAAGTGTCACAAACTCTACTAGACTCTATACAGGTTCCATCGTCACATCTAAAGCCATCGCAAGGGTTCGTGAAGGGGCAACTTAATTCATCTTTACCATCATAGCAATCTCGAACTCCATTACAGACCGCTGAATTAGGTATACAGTTTCCAGCATCACACACAAATCCATCAGAACACGGACTACTAATCTGGCATCCACCTGCTTCGTCTTCTCCTTGATAACAATCACGTATTCCGTTGCATCTAGCTCTTAGAGGGATACACTGTCCGTCGCTACATTTATATTGTCCTGGACAATCTTCAATGATGGGACAACCATCCTCATCATCCCTGCCATAGCAATCGGAGATGCCATTACATCTAGCCGTTAGAGGAATGCATTCTCCTGAATTGCATCTGAACTGACCCGCACAGTTGTCCACTACCGGACAGCCATCTTCATCTTCGTTGCCAAAGCAATCTCGAACACCATCACAAACAGCGATTCTTGGTATGCAGTATCCAGGAGGACATGTGAATTCACCCGGACACTGATTTCCTATAATAGGACAATTTAATTCATCCTCTCCTCGTGAGCAGTCTTGGGTGTTATCGCAGATTCTGGCAGCTTCAATACAGCTACCGTCATCACATTCAAATTCACAACGATTGCAACCAACTTCATCTTCGCCATCGGAACAATCCAACCTGCCGTTGCAGATAAAGCTCCTTGGTATACAGTTCCCTCTGCCGCATTCAAATTCATTTCCACATCCTGCTGGGCATTTTTCCTCGTCTTCCCCGGCAGAGCAGTCAGGTATGCCATCACAAACATTATTACCACCAATACAATGGCCATTATAGCAGGTAAACTCGGTACTGTCACATCCTTCGTTGATAGGACAGGAACTCTCGTCCAGGCCATTTGAACAGTCCTGACGTCCATCACAGATGTACCGTAATTCAATACAGAACCCTGTCTGACAATTGAATTTACCAGGGCAGATCTCTTCTGATTCACAGTTCTGCTCATCTGTACGATCTGGACAGTCTTTGTAAGTGTCACAAACTCTACTAGACTCTATACAGGTTCCATCGTCACATCTAAAGCCATTGCAAGGGTTCGTTAAGGGGCAACTTGATTCATCTTCACCATCATAGCAATCTCGAACTCCATTACAGACAGCTGAGTTAGGAATACAGTTTCCATTGCCGCACTGAAATTCACAAACAGTGTTGCAGTTATTTTCATCTTCTCCACTGTAACAATCACGATTCCCATCACAGACTTTGTTTTGCGATATGCAGGAGTTATCATCACACACGAATCCATCAGAACACGGAGTACCGTCACAGGCGTAAGTTTCCTCGTCTGAATTATCACCACAATCGTTATAACGGTTACAAACGCGATTGGAGTCGATGCAATTACCATTTCCGCAACGAAATCCTGTCGAACATCTGTCATCTGAACAACCAACTTCGTCATCTCCTCCAGAACAGTCTCTCCGACCATTGCAAACAGCAGAATCAGGAATACACAAACCATCTCTACATTTGAATCCCCTGCACTCTTCTGGACACCTTACTTCATCCTCGCCTCTCAAACAATCCGGTCGACCGTTGCATACACTGGCCGTATCAATGCATATCCCATCGTTGCATCTAAACCCAGAACACTGCTCCGGGCAGTTGATTTCATCGTCACCTCGTGAGCAATCTGGTCGCCCATTGCAGACATCTCTAGTGTCTATACACGAACCATCGGAGCATGTGAACCCGGAACATTCCTCTGGGCAATTAATTTCGTCTTCTGCTGCGCGGCAATCAGCATTGCCATCGCAAAGGCTTGATATTGGTATACATGTGCCATCAGCACATTCAAATGCAGTGCACCCTGGCAGACAATTTTCCTCATCTTCTCCCTCGGAGCAGTCTCGCGCTCCGTTGCACACCGAGCTGATATCGGTACATTCACCGTTGTTGCACTCGAAACCATCGATACAATCAGGTGCTGTGAAGCAAGACACTTCCGTTTCATCTCTGCCATCAATACAGTCCAAACTGCCATCGCAGATTCTTGTAGATTCGAGGCAGTAGTCGGTGCGGCATAAGAACAATCCCCGACAACTAGATGACTCTGGGCATCCTGCCTCGTCAACGGCCCCGTAGCAATCAACCCATCCATCGCAAAAGGCCTCGCCTGGGACACACTGTCCTGTACTGCACATTTTAAGATTAGCGTCTACATCACATTGTGGAAGTTCCCTGCAGGATACCTCGTCTTCACCATCGGCGCAATCGACTTGACCGTCACAGATCAAGGACGCCGGGACACACGTCCCATCCATGCACTGGAAATCACCGCCACATTGCGTCATCACGCAGTCCTCCTCATCTTCACCCTCGCTACAATCAATGAACCGATCACACAACCGACTCCTAGAGATACACTTGCCTTCATCACACCGGAAGTCACCCCCACAATCATGCGGCACAACCAGAGGGCAGTTACGCTCGTCTTCCCCTCTTGAGCAGTCATTCCTTCCGTCACATACTTTCGCTTCTGCGAGGCATCCTACTCTACTGCCGACGTTGCAACGTATCTCATTTTGGCGACACGTTGGTTGCGTTGGTTGCGTTGGACGCGTTGGATGCGTTGGTTGCGTTGGTTGCGTTAGTTGCGTTGGTTGGCTGATGCATCCACGTTCATCCTCTCCTCCAAAACAATCTACTCTCCCGTTACACACAAAGCCATAAGATAGACACCGGCCATCGGATGAACACTCGAATTTACCAGGACATGCTGCTACGACTTGACAGTTCTCCTCGTCTTCTCCTGTAGCAGTAATATAGAGGAAGAGAGTCGAGGGCAAAACATAAAAATAAACCGATAACCAATAGATATAACTATGATTACTTTGTTTAACACACTAGTTGAAATGTACTACTTCATACGTATTATATTAATTTAATACAGATATGATTTTGGCCTGCAAATACATGTATTAGCATGCTATATAATGCTAAAGGAATCAACGAATACAAACAATCAGCGGTTAAGTATCAAAAATTTGGTGTCAACTACTTTAAATACTTGTTTTTGTATAGCTTAACCAAACACCGTATTATCTTCATAATTAATTTGTCTTTCATGAATAATATACAAAGAGAGCTACTTCGTGGTGTAAGCATAATTTACATAAGTCAAAGGAATGTTTGAGTTCTTGTTGAAGACCGCGAGTGCCTTCAAAGTGTATGGTTATTAATCTTATCCTTATTTATGACATTTATAGTGCCCTTTTAGTACCTAAAATTACTATGAAGGTAGTTTTAGACCACAAAATGTGTGAAATTTAGATTAAATCCGATCATACCAATTCAGCTCCACTTTCCAAAAATAAAAGGTAGCCGTTAATCTAATAATTTAATAATAACTAAACACGGGCCGGTAAACAAATAGCCAACATTTGCATTGGCTGGAAAAATACGTATGAGGCGCGATCTCGTTTTTTTAACGGCTTGTTCAAAATTATCAAATATTTTTGGGGCCCCACAACATATTAGAAATGGTAATATTATAGATATTTCAACCGTGTCTGAATCGATATTATCCTTTTAATTGTATGCTCATTTAAATTTGGCACTCAGTTTTTCATTATTTCACAACAAAAATATTTTGTGTAGCGCCCTTTATACCCAAACTCAGCTTTCCCTTTTAAGTAAAATGACCTTAACTATGATAACGAACACTCACTTATCATATTCTACGAGTGAAACAACAATACTTAAAGATAAACTCCAGTACTGGTAAAAAAAAAAAAATTAATTCTCACAGAATCAAACGAAACTTACACTGAATGTTCAAGATTACAAATAAATGACATGTGCCAAACAATTTTGGAAGAAAATGTATACTGGCTGAGTAATGAGCATAGAAAGACAAGGAAACCAAGGTAGTACCATCCCCGACACGATGTGTGTTGTCCCATATATAGCTTTCAATGTGAGTGTTTGTTACTTTACCAAGACTCGGTCAAATTTATTATGATTTTGATGACTCCAGAACCTTGCAGTGCACACCAATACTTACATGCTACATGATCAACTGTTTCTGATCCTTTCACACCTTTTCTTTCACAATGCAATCGCATTACCAGTACTAAAGTTTAGCTTTAAAGGCTTGTCAATATTCAGAATAGATATGAAAAGATCTGTTCCCTAATATCTCACCATATCGGCAGTCTTGTTCTGAATCACAGAGAGCTGATCGAGGCAAGCATAGTCCTTCTGGACATTCAAACTGATCATTTCCTGTATAAAAAAAACAGTTGTTGAGCCAAATAAACGATAACGATTACGATATAGATGATGATGATAATGATTAGGATAAACATAAACAGATCATAATAATGGTAAAACTACTACTGCTACTACTGTCAATTACTTCTCCTCGGTTTAGTATTAAGTGTTGATGAATGATTTATGGATGGATACATAATGAAAATGGAGTAATTATTTTATATCAAAGAGCATAATTGTCAGGGGTATCTGCGCATATTAAAAGGGCTTTGCTATCCTAGGGAGAGGGCATTCATTGGTGAGATAATTTGAAAGGGGTCGTTTTCATGGATGGTACTTCAAGGGGTGTCCGGGAATCAATTTCCGGATATTGTTTTCCATTCGAGGGTAATTGTCAAAAAATATTGTCAGGGAGTAACTGTCCATATGTAAATGTCCAGGGTGGTAGTTCGAGGGTAGATGTGTAGCACGGAGTAGTAGCCGGATTAGTAGTCCTGGGGTGTTTCACAGAGATCTTAAAGTCGAACTTAACTCTATTAAAGTTGGACTAAGAAATTGTGGAGAGCCATTTGTAGCATTTTAGACTTTTTATAATTCCCCATCAAGAACATGAAATCTTCTTGATAATATTATGAATGATTTGATTCAACATGTTATGCCTTTAATACAAATCTTTTACAAAATATTTTCATAGATGCTAACAGCTTTCCGTAAATGTTAAGTCCAACGTAGAGATAAGTTCAATTCAGGATCTTTGTGAAACAACCCCTGGGTGGTAGTTCGAGGGTAGTTGTCGGCGGGTAGTTGTCTGGAGGTAGTATTACGGATACATTTTTTACCAAAGGAACTTACGACATGAGAAGCAGTCTTGTTCATCTTCTCCATACGAGCAATCGTAAGTCCCGTCGCATATCGTCTCGAGTTGGATACACCGACCATCATCACACTGGTACCTGCTTGAGCACGGCTCATTGATCTCTATTCCACCGCAGTCTAGTTCGTCTTCTCCAAAGTAGCAATCGTGGACTCCATCACAGACATATTGCTGGTAGGATATATTTTAAAAGATGAGAATATAAAATAGTGTGCAACTTAAATTAAGATTAACTACCTATAAGTCAATATTTATCCAATTAATCCAAAAGGAAACTTAAACATTTTTGTGTAATCATGTAAAGCGCCAATGTATCAACCGAGTTTCCTGATGGGAATATTTATTTTTTCAACAACAAAAAGTGTTCATGGGGCAGGCCACAAGTACAAATGTATAGAATTGGATCTTTGTAATTTGCTTTGTAGATCCACTTTATACATGTAACATTAATTTGCTACTGTAATATATAGAATGGGCTAAGCGCTGAAACATTCTAGCAAAATAGCAATCTAGACTTTATAAGTTTTGGTAAAATAATTTTTTAGTCAAGACTATGGTGCGCTTAAAGACACCCGTATTAAGCGCCTAATAAATATTGTGTATTATAACTATTATTATTAAAACAAAATTTGCGAATGCAAAGTTTAATTTCTTCACCATAATTTATTTGGATATAATATGCAATATCTAGTTATTTTTTTCGAAGGACGGGGGGGGGGGGGTTGGACTCGTTTGGCACCCATTGGTATATAATGGTAGAATTTATTTACGTATAACCCGTATAATTCTATAATTTATTGTTGTATAACTTGATTTAAAGAAAATTCGGTTCGATTAAAAAAGAATAGAATCATATTATCAGATCATGAGGACCAATATTGGGATGGTTTGGATTCGGAGGTTATGAAAGCACCATCGTCAAATTGTTTTAAACGCAAACTTCCGAGTTCTTATTTTAATTTCTTACGTCTAATATAATTTCTGTTTTATATGTATATCTATATTAATGCTAAATATATTACTCATTGCGGATGTACTATCAAAAATAATATTGCTAGTGATATTCGTTTGTCTTGCAATGTATTGTCAACAAGGGATCTTTAAGATCACGACGTTTCGTCCGCCGCTGCAACACTTACATTAAATTTTATCACCTGACGAAGTGTTACAGCGACGCACGAAACGTCGTGATCTTATATATCTCTTGTTGACCATACATTGCGAGACAAACGAATATCACTAGCGATATTATTTTCGGCATATCTATATTTTGTTGTAAAATGTGGAATACATAAAACTTGAACTTGAATATGAGGTCTCACATTGTCCACACAGGCATCGTTGTTGCACTTGAATTGACCAGGTGGACATGTCTGAGTAAGGCAAGCCTGTTCGTCTTCTCCTTCTAGGCAATCAACGTGACCGTCGCATAGCCAGTCTTGAGTTACGCAGGATCCTGGGATACAAACACCATAACACATGCATCAAGAAGAAGAAAAAGAGTTGTTATGCTGTATGTAACTTTCCCTCTGTTTTGCTATATGTACTGCATTGTAAATTGATTTATATGATATATTTATATGTTTACAAACAGAATATTGATTTGTTATATTGCATTGTAAATTGATTTATATGTTTATAAACAGATTATTGATGTACATCAAAGAAGTTTGATGAATACAATACAATACAATACATGCAGATATATGAAGAGAGAGAGAGAGAGAGAGAGAGAGAGAGACAGAGAGGGGGGGGGGGGGGGGAGTGACGAAGAAAAAAAGGAGGTAGAAAACAAAATGACCGAAAGAACTAAAAGATACGTTCTCTAGGACAAAAGTAAATGTATACTATGTATGTTAAAGTTTGCTCGTTCAATTTCATAGCTCTGCGTTTTCTTAATGCAAAGTTTATACTTTAAATAGGCAAGAGAGGTCAACCTTTCCCCAAAAAAACTCTACCAGTTCACTTTTACATTTTGCCTACTAAGTATTATGGCAGGAATTAATTCCTTGAAATGCTGGAGCGCTGTAATGGCAGCTAGGCTAAAGCCGGGGTAATAATAAATGCGCCTCGGAATAGAATTTCTAGATAGATGGCGCTATAAAAATTCATATTATTATTATTATTATTATTATTATGGATGAAATAATGATTGGTGTTACCTGTACTGCATTTGAATTCATCCTTCTCGCATTGTGTTCTGGAGCATCCCACCTCATCTTCCCCGTTGGAGCAGTCATCGATCTGATCACATAGCCAGTAGTCTGGGATGCACTCACCGCTCTGACACCGTGTCTGGTCAGGAGGACATGTGCTTATCGAGCAACTTTGTTCGTCCTTTGAAAAGATAATGTTAAACATTGTATAGTAGGAGCCACATAATTATGAAAGATTCACACAAAAAGAGAAAATTCATAAAATTGGAGGGCCTTGAGTAGCCGAATTGGCATATGTGTACGTAGCCATTGTTTAGAAAATGCCACCGCCAATCGTGAATGTGTGACGTATGAATCGAGTGAAAGGACTTCTTGAGTCCTTTCCCGGAGGCATTTTAAGTTTACACCCAAACAATTGGCAGTACACTATCTTCTTTGCGATTAGTACACACATGCATACACAATTCCAAACGCAGTTACCCGCTAACACGTCACAACTCGGCAGGGTACAGGCTTAGGCTGTGAAAATGGCGACTCCCTATGTGGTACACGACCTGTCGACGCGTGTCATATAGTTAATAAAACCCCCTCTGAAGGCTCGAATGAGCGAGTTTTTGTATCAAACATGTTTTTATATTACTCTGTACAGGATTATGAGACTTTAAATGGCTGAGTTTTATTCTCCTCTTTCATGTAAAAAATCACTTATTTGTACATTTATTTCAGCTTCATTTCACAGAAAACACATTTTAATTTCTAATCTTTTCATTTCAGAACAAGAGCAATGTGTATTACTACGTTACCCTTTGAATACCAATAAAGACAACCTGTTATTTACTTTTATTACCTGACTCCCTTCTATATATTTAATGTTGAATATATATACTCTCATAATATCAGAGACTGGAACCATTTCTTACCTCTCCGCCTGGGCAATCATACAGCCGTCCATCACAAACCTGCTGAGATGGGATACATTTACCACTCTCACACTGGAAGGACGCCGTCGGACATCGATAAGGGTATGATGGCGACTGGAGAAAATATGAAATAGATTCAAACTGAAAACAGGGTCGGTTAGGAAGGCAGGGGTGCGCCTAACTCTTTTGGTATTTTGTTTAGTGCTGACACAAAAAGGGAAGGAAGAAAGAACAATTTATAGTCCTACATACTCACTCCACTTTCCTTTTTCAAAGTGAAAAGTATTGTAAATGATAATGTAATGCTTTCAATAACGTTAACACTGTAAAGACTATACAAACTTTAAATTTTATATCACTTAATTTCGATAATTACTTAATTTCATCAAAATGCGCCCAATTATCTGACTCGTAAAAGCTGTAACAAATTGGTCGTTTAATTTAAGTCTTGATACAAAATTATAAGAAGAATAACTCGCAAAACTTCGTTGTTCTCAAAAGAATAGTAAACTTTAGAAAATAACCTTACCAGTTGCCTCTCCTTTAGATGTAGCTTTGTAAAGTTTGTCGATCGAACTGAAATGTGAAAAGGGAAATCATTAGATCAAATATCCTTTACAAACAAGCTTAGAAATCAACAAAATATAGCATTACCGAGAAAGTGGGCCGGGATATTGTTTTGATTATATGGTCACATAAATAATGCAATAAAAAAAAAAATGGTATTTCTATATTATAGAACTAGCCATTGCCAATAATATGTTTCAAATTGCAGTAAAACATGAAACTAAAGATAAAGTTGAGATCGTGAACAATAAATATATATTCTTTCAGATGCGAAGAAGTGTAGCAATTTCGATGATTTTTATGTTGGTATTTATGCCCAGGCGTCCATCTTTGACCCCTTCGGACTTCGCATCCCTACCATCACCTTCCCCCTAATTTTGAGGATTAGTGAATACGTTGGCTGCGTTTCCACTATCTATATATGTACTCTCTATCGATACATTCATGTATTTTTCATCAACACTCATTAATTTTATTCCATTCTTTTTAAATTTGCATAATTTCTTTTTAATTTTTCATAATTTCATATAATTTAATTAGCCAGTTCGTATATACTATCTGCGCATGGGCAGATAAAGGTACATGTAATTTGTTCCCAAATTGTAAAACCTATCGAGACGAATACTGTTATCGTGCTCTTGAAAGTTATGTAAATCTGTATTCGTTTGCAACGACAGTACATTTATCACATACACAGGTGGAAGTAGGGGGTATTCTTCTCAAGAGGCAAACAAAAAGTATTCATGAAGCACCTCCATTACCTCGGCAGTGATTATTCCAACATAAACGCACAGATAAGACGTATCCATCGTGTTAAAGGTCTGTGGATATCTTGGGGTCATGCGTTCCGAAGCTTTTTACGAACTGGCTTATTTCAGTTCATTCCTCTTTTTTTACAAATTCAGGCTTGCATAAGTTCATTCCCAATAAACTCACCGTTATCTAGATGGCGGAGTACCCGTAATTTGGTCGATCGCTCGTTTTCCAACTACAAAAAGGACCAAACATGAAAGAATATACAGTTTATTTGCCTTTCTACTGTCTTACTTGACACTGGCCGAGACATTAAACATATTATGTCAATTTAAATCAGAAGGTAATTATTCCATTTTTCTTTCAAGTTTAAGGGTAAAGTAACAACCAAGTTTTACCATTTTAATATCCTAGATAGGGCATTGTCATAAATAAAATACATTAAAAAAAGAATTGCAGCAGGCTTTGAGAAAAAATACCAAAACACTTTTTCAGTTTGTATTCCTTATGTGTGTTCTTATTCACCCCGATTAAGCCCAATGACACTATGACTAGAATAAACATGTGACTACATTAATGGTACTTGAAAAGACATTTAGAGATGCATACCGAAACACCACGCCTCAAAAATCGTCTTGCCCTCTCCAACTTGCCGTCCTCTGAACCGCTGCAAAGAATGATTAAATTCAGCAAACCAAATATCAATATTTGATTCTTCATGTTGGCCCGAACTTTGGATTTTCTTGCCTATTTAGCAAGTTTTCTTTCGTGTAACTATTCTGGGTGGACTTTCCCCCTTCCGAACAGGCCTGCAATAAGTCGAGTACAGGCGTGGCATATGCATATAGTGAAATGCATTCATTCACGGTAAAGTAAGCGAAGTTCCCAGTTCAAAACTACACGATTATGTATGGCGATGATGAAGCAATGATTTGTACGGAATGTTTAGCATTTGAACGTTCCGTATCAATGACTTCACGCACTGTGCGCATTAAAGAAAACAATGGAATATGCAGATGATGCTATGTCAGTTTGACCTCTTACAATCGGGGAAAGGTCTCGCACACAATAGAGTTAGGAGCGCGAACTGGTCTTGGTGTTGGTTGAACCCTTCTCCTGTCACACCGCCAGACCGACTCTGTATCGACCGACTCCGTGCCATGTGAGGGTAATGTAATCTGTGTGCTCGGTTATTCGTCGGTATATCTATCAAGTCGGTGTGACCTAGGCGTTTTAAGAGCTGGAGTCCAAACAAATTATTCCAAGCAGCTGCCGTTTTCTAAGGTTGCACAATAGAATTTACAGGTCTTTGATATCTGAGGTTCGATGCCGCCAACGTCGTTGGAAAGCTTGAGTAGTGATTGTGTTTTAACGAAGAAATATTGTTAATATTTCACTTTTTATTTAAACTAATGAGGGGAAAATTGAACAGATAATAATAATAATGATACACAAAATTTATAACGCGCTTAATACGGCTGTTTCTAAGGCTAAGCGCACCATTGTCTGTTTACAAAATTCAACTATCAACCAAAACTTGATGGCCCGAATTCACAAAGGAGGTTTGTCGACAAACCGAGCGTCATATGACGCGTTCTGACGCGTTTTTTTTTTTTTACAAACCTGGTTTGTAAAAACGCGTCAAAACGCGTCATATGAGAACAGATACATGATTTGTATGTTCATTATGGCCCGAATTCACAAAGGAGGTTTGTCGACAAACTGAGGTTTTCGTGCTTCATATGACGCGTTTCGACGCGTTTTTACAAACCAGGTTTGTAAAAAAAAAACGCGTCAGAACGCGTCATATGACGTTCATAAACCTCAGTTTGTCGACAAACCTCCTTTGTGAATTCGGGCCATAATGAACACATAAATCATGTATCTGTTCTTTTGTCAATAAATCATGCATATATAATAATACAAATGAGATCGAACAAATATATAAATATGAATACAAAAGCCTCATTGTGTCAAGAAGTTTGCTTACATTTAATTTGTGAAAAACTCTAAAATTGTACAATTCAAAAACCTGCAATTTGACACTTTTTCGATTAATTCTTGCACACTAAATAAAAAGTGAATTTGTTCAAGTATACAGTTTTTTTTTATGGTTTTGAAATATGTCAGATTAGTGCCCACACATGCCCATTGGAGTAATTTAGATTAATATTTCAGGAAATTTTGCTCAATTTCCTTTCGCTTGCCTCCTAAAAAGGTAATCACTGTGTAGTGTTCATATTATTAGACGAGTGGTAGCGAAAAGTAATTATCATTACAAAGGCATATTTCCCTTTGAAAGTGGTTGGTTAGCTAGTTTGCAGCTAGGCAGGAATCTTTTGTCTACGTACCTGCTCCAGTTATTAAGCACATGTCTGACATATCTTCTACTGGTGGTATCGAAGATGGTACAAAGGGAATGAGCTTGATATGACTCCAGCTCTTTAAACTTCTTGCTGTGATTGAGATATAATCATTGGGTGTGGTTCGTGAGTAGCGTGGTGTAGACGGTCACGTAGATTACTCCATGTAAGAGTACTATAAATCCCAATATAGGCATCAGCTTTGCCTATTCCGTTCTAAATATTTTTTCCTGTGATCTTGGAAGAAAGATGGAGGTCCTTATACAGTTACTGACCATGTTACTATGTTCATTTTCTCTGGTTCACTGCAAGCCTGTGGAAGTGGAAGAGAACTGGAAAGGGTCACCAAAGAAACAGTCGGTAAGCTAACGGACTTGAAAAAGTACTTTCAAAGTTATCATTATTACATTTATATGATGGTATGGCCTGATGTGTTTGTATATGTATAAACTGTTTTCAAGAGTGAACGAATTAAATTTGTCGATAAACCTGTGTGAACATCCACTTATGTATAAATTCGGTTTAATTACATTCGGTCTGATTTGATAGTACTTCACCATCAAATCTGCCGGGTGAAAAAGGGTCATACCGCGAGGTTGTGTTTATTTTTTAATGTAACCGCGTAATCAAGTGATTGAAGTAGAGTAATATAATATGTATTATAAAATGTATTTCAATAGTAAGGAAATAACTGAAAACGATTTTATGAATGCTGAAATCAACAACGTTGATAGATAAAGTTGTAGAAAATAGAATAAAATTGAAATGACCGATTGAGATGGAAATCGGTAATAACTAACAGGTTTGTATCACCCATTTTTAATATTTCATCAGATTTTACAAGCTCGGCCGATGGACTTTAGGGATGAGATTTACGTGAGCAAAAGGAATGCATTTGGAAGTAAGTTTCTGTCTCCATTTTTGATGTTTCCCGGACTATTTTAAAACAAGTTGCTTTTGACGCCCGCTATATCACAATACTTTCACATTGAACACCACCCCGAAATTAAATGAAATTAATTAAGACTTATATTACTTAAAGTCCAAGTCCACTCCAAAAATGCTGAATTTGCTTTTAAAGGATGCAGAAAAACAATAGAAACAGAGCAAAAAAGATTTGAGTAAAATCTGATGACTAATAAAGAAATTATGAATTTTTGAAAAAGTATGGAACAATGGAAATCACTACATGTATTGCCAATTTGTTTATCATTTTGTGACGTCATTGCCTCACTATTTTTCAATTGCTTTATATATTTTATCCCATTAATTTCCCGCACCCCGCAAATCTTAATTTTCCCACGCCTTTGCGTAATTTTCAAAGTTTTTCATGTCATTAAAAATTCAAACCTCTCTTATTAGTTATCAGATTTGGCTAAAACTTTTTTTGATTGGTTTGTCCGCTTTGTTTGCTTTTATTGAAAGTAAGTTATTTTTGGAGTGGACTTTGTATAGATATTCTGTATTATTAATTTATTTTTGATAGATAATTTGCATTTACATTTTTCAGAAGTTCATATGATTTGATAAGTCCCTATGTAGTAAAGTAAACAAATTAGATAATAAGAATAGCGAAAGTTTGAAATAATCGGACTAATATAGAAATAAGAAAGTTTTTTATGAAAGTTTGAAAAATTAGATTCCTATAAATTGTATGTTAATCTCAAATTGGCAGTTTGGTGGATTATGACGAAGTCAATCATAATTACTCTTCTGTTTGTCCTTTACACAAAATATCGTTAGTTCCTGTTTTCCCCTAATTGCATTCTCCCTTGGGGCTCTACTCAAGGCATATCATTTACAACATAACAGTATTGGTACTCTAATCAGAATAGACCATCCCGAGTCATCACTGTTGAACATTTGGAAATTCTAGTAATTTGTTTGTGTTAGGAAAATTGGGGAACTGTAACAAATTCATAACTTTCTCTCAATTTTTGTCAAATTTCATCCAAAATTTAGCCCGTGTACTTTTCTGATTTTTAAGATCTTTCCTCAAGAGTTTTTTGCTATTTCAACGTTGGATTTTCTGTTAACATTTCCCCACTTAACTGTTACAGCATAAATAAATCCCCTACCATCTAGCAACATGACCAAATTGAAATATGTTATGGAAGCTGGGGGTATTTCACAAAGATCCTAAATTGGACTTAACAATGATGGAAAGGCGTTAGCATCTTTGCAAAAGTTACTAAGGCATAACATGTTGATTCAAATCATTCATATTTTCTATTATCATGGGAAATTTCATGTTCTTGATGCGGAATTTATGAAAAGTCTAAAATAAATATATTTCATTATAAAGCTGCAAATGGCTCTCCATAATATTTAAGTCCAATTACGTTCAACTTGGAATCTTTGTGAAACACCCCTGTATTGGATTTTCCCCGTTGGTATTTCCATACAAGGTGCAAGTGCATAGTTCTCTTCAATCTTGTGCTCATTCATTCATTCAGATTGCATACCGCCTGGCACTGACGTCCCAGGGTTCCGCTGTGCAACTAGTCAAGAGTGCATCCCTTTGAGTCTGGTGTGTGATGGCGTCAATGATTGCGACTACGACGCCTACGACGAGACCGAGGAATCATGTAAGGTAGTCCAATGCGACGGGTTTCTCTGCCGTGATGGGGCGTGTCTTCTGACCGAGTTCGTGTGTGACGGCACCTATGATTGTAGAGACGGGATGGTAAGCATGAATCTCGGCTCCGATATTTCGTAAAAGAGCAAGCTCAAACTATATTGTCCCAAACGTTACCGAACACAACTCAGAATTTAGTAATAAGCCCGTTCGTAAATACTATGCGCATGGGCAGATAAAGGTTATTTGTAACTAAATTGTAAAACCCATCGAGACGAATACTGGTATCGTGCTCATGAAAGTTACGTTATCAGTATTCATTTATGCACAGACAGTACACTTATCTGATACACAGGTCACATGTGGAAGAATTCTTCTCAAGAGGCATTCTAAAATGAACAAGTGGGACGTATCCATCGTGTAAAAGATCTGTGGATATTTTGAGGTCATGCGTTCCGATGCTATTTACAAACTGGCTTTAATATTGTATTGATATATCTATTAATGCTTTCCCCGAGACCAAATAAAGTGTAATGACACAATCGATGTAAGTTAGTGCTTACAATTCCATAATACTTTGTAAGGTATGCGACATCTAAAAAACAATATACATGTTATATTGAAGGATGACATAATTTATCACAATCTCCTTTTTCACATTAAATAAAAAGGCTCTATATCATTTCTCTTTGTACTTTGAAGCCTCTTGTGCCTAGTCTTTGGCACAATTAAAACAGTTTAATGCAAAATGAGTAATGGTATTTCAGTGGAGAATAAAGGT